ATTAAGATTTATATACAGAAACCCTAAGTATATTAAAATCTGACCTTTTCAAAAGATATCATAATATCTTTTTCAACCACATTATAAAAGCAGTTTACATTTTGCTTTAGACTAACCCTCTTTAGAGTAAAGAGTATAGGTTGACCAGGTAAGCTATAGGTAGGTTAACATAAATAAAAAGACCAAGAAAAACAATTACTTTGAAAAGAAATATGCTTCAGTGGACAATTCAAGCCCCACCTCAAAACTGGCAATAAAAAACAACTTAAAACAAAATAAAAAGAAATATACCTGAGCTCTATAAAATGTTTAAATAATCATGAATGTCTCATCAATATAACTTATTTTACCTACCATATGACAATGTCCTCTAATACATTTAATACTGCAACAATTTAATTAAAAAAGAAAGGAGTGCCGTTTTGTGCCTTTCCCAGGAAAGTTAATATCTAAAAGGTTGTCATTAAAAGACAGTTTTCCTACAACCAAGTCCCACAGCACAAAGTTACCACAGAGCTCCAATGTACTATGATGTCTCGGTTTCATTTACTATATTCTCTAAATACTAAGTTCCAAAAAGATTAGTTTCATTTTTCCCTAGATAGATTTAGTATGTTAACTAGCATAGTTGGGATATTATTTTTCTTTGGTTTTGTCAGTAGCATGTTTGATATAAATTTTATTAAGTGGTAGTATATGTAACATTGCATTGTGGGTAGTAGTTTCCTGCTTTAGCTTAGCCACATCCTCAGCTGTCATATGAGCATGTTTCCCATATTTTCTGCAAGTTCTCGCCTTTTTTTTCTTCTTAGAAAAATGACAGCATTAGAAGATGAATTATTCCAATAATTATAAGAAACACGAGTTATTTATACAGCTACATTACACAGTATGGATCACTCTGCACTTCGAAGAGCAGTCAAAGAAGGAAAAACAAATCCTCATAATTAAAGTGCCAATGTCATGTGAAACATTATGTTAAAGTAAATTAACATAGAGGAAGGAATTAAAAACTGTTAAAGAGGAAGAAAATCACTGTAATCAGATGCCAATACCATCTAACCAATGAGGTGTACATATAACGGTGTAGACATAACAATGATTTGTCTTGAAAACTTAGGTGCTTCAAACCTGCCAGGTGTTCATTAGTGAGAATTAATGTCAATATCTACTACTAGAACCTTAAGAATCTACTTTGAGACACTATAGAAATATCAAAACAGAGAAAAAGAAACTGAAAAGAGCTGGAGGAAGGAGGAAAAGAGGGAAGAAAAAAAGGGGAAAAGAGAGGGGGAGTACGAGGGAGAGAGGTAAGTTTAGTATTTTCTCTTTTGGCATCTTATTTCCACATAATCTCACATTTAGACAGCTACTAATACTAACTAAATGAAGTTGTTCCAGCAATCATGGACATGGTGGTGCTTGGGTTTTTACATAATTTAATTAAAACAAACTGAGAAGTAAAAAAAATACTCATTACAAAAAGTAACACAAAGTAATACGCTGAACACACAATCACAGAAATAAGCATACACCCCATTAAAATAAGGAAGTAAAATTAATATCTCATAATCATAACTTAAAGTACTAATAATGTATTTAACTAATATAAAACCTTTTCAAATCATCAATATAAGGCCCAATAAATGTTATGTCAGCTTAAATAGCTATACATTAACTCCAAAAAAAGTCAAAAAATAAAATGTCATATACCAAGCTAAAACAAAAAATGTCTTCCTAAAAACCTCATTACCAGTAAGAAAAATTTAAGCCAAATTAGAATGTCTACAATTAATAAAAAACCTACATCAAATAATTTGGCCCTGTGGCTTTCAATTAAAAGAAAAATTGAACAGCACCAAATAGAAGTTAAAACAATAAAAAATAAAAAAAAACATAGAAATAAGGACAATATTGACACTGATAAAACTATTGAATCTAAGTAGGATCATTAGTTCAGAAAATAAAAAAAATAATAATTCAAAGGTAACAATGAATATATATATGTAACATTTAAAAAAAAAACTATTCTACTGTTATATAGTGTAACAGTATACAATATTAAAAGTTTGACCAATGTTGACAAATTTAGTAAATACAAGGTAATGGGGGAGCAAGATAACTAACGTCTTTACTTACTGAATTTGATTTCAAGTTCAAAGGGCTAGTTCATGTCTATGGCATTAAGGTACATAATTTATTTTCATACATTATGTAAGTAAACTAAATTTGTTACTTACATCAGCATAGCAAATACTAACATAATCCCCAAACATGAAGTTTTGAGGGTCTTTGAAAAACAACAACCAAAGAATTCTGTGGTTCCATTTCTCATTTTAAGCATCGTATAAATCCATAATCAAGAGCTTTATTTGCAGTGACTTTTCTGAGTCAATCTTTCTTTATTACATGTGATAAGTTACTTCTAATTAAACACTCAATTATTATATATGTAACTTTATCACTTGTTTTTTAATTTTTATCACAAAGTAATATTTGCTTCAAAGTGGATATACTTTCAATTTAGAAAAAGAATGTGTGGATAATAAATATACAAACTTTAAGCACATGACTTTACTGTCTTTCTACTGCCAGAACTTGATGGGCCTCACACAAAACATAAAAGTCATATTTAACAATACCTACTAAACTCTTACAGAACATGAGTGATTATCCTGACCCAAAAATTATGTGCAGGAGGGTTACCCGCACAAAAGAGAAAAAGCAGGTAATAGATGCACAGATGTTGAAAATTATTCAAATGCTTACAAAGTTAGGTTAGAGGGCCAATGTGCACATAATTTTTTAAAAACATTTAAGGGAGAAAATATTTAGCTAATAGTTGGGGTTATAAGACATCAGAGAATCCTTACACAGACACTAAAAAAAACATTTATTTGCCATACTATAGCGGCTACCTAAATTTTTTCAACTACCTGATTCTGTTGCTATTGTATGTGCATATGGAACAACATTTGGAAATTCCACAAATTATATAAACAAAGACCTCCTTTAGATATATTATAGATCAAACCAGTACACCATAGTCATTTTAAAAGTGTAACTAAATAACTTTTCTCTTTTGTATGAATAATTACATTAAATGAAAGTTTTACTTTTCAATGTAAAATGTTTACATACACAATCAGGCATAAATATATATTTTAAATGAAACACTAAAGTGCATGTCTAGTGTTTTATCACTAAAAGTTTGTTATGAGAAAGTTCTGGACATGTGAATAATAAAGGATTAAAATCATTCCCATGTCTTTCCTGTGCATTTTGGGCAAATCAAATATTTTGTGAAGAAATTTATGAACATGTCTGCACATTTATCTTTATCTAATATAAATCAAAAGCAGATAATGAACTGTGCTGGGAAGTCCATAGGCAAGAATATTTTGGCTCTAACACCTTCCTTAGTGTTTCCCAGCCCCTGCCCCATTATCAACCCCAAATAATGTTTTGTAATTCACTGTCTCCGCCCACCCTCTCAATCATTTACTCTATGCCACTCCTAGTTACTATCACACTAGGAAGAAGTCAAACATGCAAATTCAGAGTGGCTGATAAATGGGGGGGAGGGAGGGGGGGAATGCCTAGAAAATTGGTCTGTTCAGCTTTATAATTTTTGTTGAAAAATACCCCATTGCTCCCAACTGATGAAAACAGGAAGCTCTATTCATAAATATGAAATTCTCTGCCTAAGATATATAATCATCCTAATAAGAAAATGAGTTCTATACATACATGTCCAAAGGGGCAACAAAGGAGATAGTTTCCCAAAGATGTTTCCAATTTTCTTCTGAATCAGAATTAGCAAATCGAGACGACTAACATACTCTGTCTGTGTGCATTATTTCTTGCTACACACAGCATTTTGCAATTTATTTCAAAGCTTTCATTATAAACAAAAAATACAGCTTCTGTTAACCCACTCTATTCTGAGTTTATCAAACCTAATATTGAACAATCTAAGTTACAACATAAGAATTTTACTTTATACATGTATAAGATTTGTTAGCAAAGGCTCTGACATTAAAGTTAAAATCCAAATAAACTAAAGAATTATGCAAAATGAATATAATTTCTTGAAAAATGAAAATCATTACAACATAAAGAAAACTAAAATTCAGCCAATAATCTGTTACAATTCTTATCATTGCTTTTTATAAATCTTTAAACTAGTCATAATAGAAAGGTATAAATAATATAAATGATACTAATTACATTTAATCCAAACTATAGGAGCCAGCTCTAATATTGATCATACATAAACTAGACAGACATGATTTAACATTTGTAAAAGGAATCCCCAGACTAACACTTTCAGGACAGCCAATTACAGTCAAGCCCAGCAAGCAGTTTGCAACCAGACCTTAAGAAAGGTAAACTTTTTTACAATGAGTTACAGATTCACAAGTTTAAGAAGACAGGAAAAAGAAAAACAGAAGGACTCCAATCACCCAGCAAATATGAAGCAGACCCCAGAATGTGATACAATCCAAAGATGTAAATTATTGTAAATCATCACTGTTGTTCAGAATTTCACACAGCCTCTTGAGCCAATTTTGCTCATTTTTCCACAGACACAATAATGAACTAAATAAAAGGAGGAGTCAAAAAAAAAAAAAAAAAAAAGTGGGGGTGGGAGGAATAGAAAGGAAAGCCCTTAACTGCAGAGTTCTGTTCTACAAATGCTTAACCTTACAGGAGTTTGAGCTCCTTCAGCATTTGTATTCTATCCAAATCCTCATGAGTCACAAAAATTAAACAGCTATATCCTTCTGGATGCCAGGAAGGGCCTTACCACAAGCCTTTTGTCAGAGAGAGAGAGAGAAAGAGAGAGCAAGAGCAAGGGGGGGAAAAAGCCACAGTGGTAGGCAGTCCCACTTCACTTTGAGCACTGTGAGGTCACAAACCACATGATTCTGTCTCTCCAGTAATAGTGCTTGCAAAAAAAAGGAGTTTTAAAGCTTTTGCTTTTTTGGATTGTGTGAATGCTTCATTCGCCTCACAAACAACCACAGAACCACAAGTGCGGTGCAAACTTTCTCCAGGAGGACAGCAAGAAGTCTCTGGTTTTTAAATGGTTAATCTCCGCAGGTCACTACCAGCCACGGAGACCAACAGAGTCAGTGAGTGCTCTCTAACCACAGTCTATGCAGTAATAGTAGGTCCTTCAAATATTTGCTCATTCTCTTTTTGTTTTGTTTCCTTGCTTTTCACATGTTACCAGCTACATAATTTCTTGACAGAAAAAAAAAATAAATATAAAGTCTATGTACTTCAGTCATACTGCAAAACTAAAACAAGGTTTGGGTATGGTTTGTATTTTCAGTTTAAGGCTGCAAGCAGAATTTACAACAGAGGGTACAAGTTCTATCTGAAAAAAAAAGGAGGGACTATGGCATCAAACAGCCTCTTCAGCACAGTGACACCATGTCAGCAAAACTTCTTTTGGGGTAAGTGTTACCATATTTTAAAATCCTGTAAGAGATGAACCTGTTAAACATAAAGGTATGTTTCTTGGATAAGTTAACTGCTAGCTTTTCCGGATAACATTATATTAAGGAAAATAATAATAATGGTATTTTGTTGCACTAAATGTGAAAAGTTAAATTGCTGTACATATTTGCATTTGGCATCTGTAACTTATCTACTTCTCAGAGTAATGACCTGAAATAGAAAAAAATTAAATTATCTTATATTAGTCAAAATGTTTTTCAGAAGTATAGAAATAAGGTAGTTAAAACAATAAAAAGGTTTAATATTCTCATTAACCCTTACTGAAATAAAATTAGATACTAAATTAATCAAAGTATTATGAAGTATTCATTCCGGCAGCTCCCAATATTTGAGCAAACTTCAAAAAGGAAGTAATTTTACAAAATAACAGACCACAGAATTATCTCAACATTATGCTCTCCCATGTAAAACAGAGAAATAAGTCTGCAGTGCAGCTAACATTTTAACTAGTCCGACTACAAGAAATATATTTATAATTTTAAACTGCATCATATCATAAGCTATCTGTATAAGATTGTTTCTAAGCAACTTTTTGTAATTGAAGCATATGTTCAACTGCAATAAAATTATGTTAAGTATGTAATAGTCATTTTTTAAAAGATCTTTATTGTTAAGCAGGATATCCAGGATATTAAAAAAGTTTACAGAAATCTTTAAAAATTCCAAGTAATTGTGCTTTTCTATGTAATTTTAACTTCACATCTACACACTATTACCCATGTGTAGAACCTGTTATAAAAACAGAGCAAACATTGAGACGACTAGGATTCTTTTAATTATATTCTTGAACTTACCAAAATGAATACCGTTCAGTTTCATGAAAAATAAAACTCTGTAAGGATACCCTGCATGATTTAAAAGAGCTATACCCATTAAATCATGCTGGACTTTTAAAGAAAAACAGCCATAATATAGTCCCTTAATATTTAATTTCAAAATAATGTTGCTACACAAAAACAAACTACTTCAACATTCATCTGCTGATATGGTATTATAGTAAAATATCTAAACACTTACAAGATTTTCTTTATGATGTCCAACATATTCCAACTACAAGGCAAGTTTATAAAATTTTCTTTTAGCCTTTAAAATAAATCTTTTGCTGTGTATATATTAACTTTGCTTTATAACTTACAACTAACGATTGGAGTTTCCTTTACTCCTCCTACTTCACACATTTTAACTGGCTATCAGAGGATCAGTCTTAGTTTAGGTCAAAGAGAAATAAACCTGAAGGGGAGAAAAAGGTTTCTCTTTAAAGGGTGAGGAAATGTACACTGTATTTTACCAACAAAATGTAAAACTGCTGTAGTGAATCGTTCAAGAGTTGTAGTGGGTCGCCTCAGTTGTAACACATACAACATAATAATCACAGATTATTTTTTTTAACTTAATGGTGGTCAATAAGAGGTACTCTAAATTTCTCTGCATTAAGGAAGCAGAACATAGAATTAGACTGCATTATAGATCGTATCATAATTATAGCTTATAAGTGAGTACTTTTGCTGTTTCTATCCAAAAGATGAGGAAAAAAATGGCTAAAACTATTGTTATATGAAGGGATAACTTAAAACAGGCATCGCAAGCAGTTAAGTTACTCTTTCACAATATTATTCTGTTTAAAAATAAAATACATTTTTCTAACTAGATCAGGAACACAAGTTTCAAGGACTATTTCATCATTACAACTAAAGTTATTGATATTATCACAAAGGATATGTTAAAATGCTCTTTATCATATGAGCAGTCTTATATTTCTGTGACACCCTTAATAACTATTTCTATAGTAAAATTTCTAAAATTACCAATTTATAAAACAAGGCACTATAGTGAACTAAATAAAGATCATCTTCTATCGAATGTCATATATTTTTAGACAACATAACAATTATTTTTCTGAAAAGTGGAATTTATCCTCTCTCAACCCCAAATAGTACTTTAGGGTTAGAGCGTGGATAGAGATTTCAGATGAACCCACTACACTGAACTAATTACAGGTGAGTGGGTAGTGGACATTATGTATAGGTTATCGTCACACTGCAAACATTTCACCAATCTATAATCTATTTGAAGTTGAAAATCGCACTTAGGGCTTTAAATTCTTATATGATGATTATCAAAACAACCTCCTGAAATGAAAGTATGTGCTCTAATTTGATAGATCTGTTTTTTAAAGTTTAGGCTTTTCCTAGGTGAGGGACAAAGCATACACCAGACCATTGCCTCAGCCAAATATAATGAGTGAAAAGGGTGCGTGTGAGAGACAGAATGTATTTCAGTGTCCTTGCTCTCTTAGCATATCATTTATCTTAAATTAACAAGGAATTTTCAATCTGCACTACTCAAAATAAGCCTATTATTTATCATAAAATCTGTTGAAAGTGACAGATGTGACTCACAGTTAAGAAGTTATGAAAATATATCAGTTTGACCGATTAAAACTTCTATATAAAACCTTTGTAACTGACCACAGTGACTTATTGAAAAGGATGTGTGAACACTGATTTCCAAAATAACAGCTGTACATACCAGTAATGATAATTTTAGTTACAACGTTTAATAGTGACAAAGTGTCACAACTTACTTCCAAAATAATTCCAAAATCCAGAGAAATTTAAAAGTCAAGAACAAACACAGAAGACCACTCCAACACAAATTAAGCTAAAAATATCTATGCAATTCCCAAAGACTCGTATTATAAATTATTTTAAATTATAAAAAAAACAATCCTAATTTTGCATGAAAAATTGTTAGATTTCACTTTTAAATTTTAGAACTCTATTAAATCGTAAAATATTTCAAAGAAATTGCATAAAATATTTTGGTAGTCTATATGACTTCCTAGTCTCTAAATTACAAAGGAAGGCATGAAATATATGTGATTACATTATTATTTTAGTTATTTTTTTAAAAATTAATATATTCAATTACACCCTTCAAACTAATCACTGATAGTTTGACTTGTTTAAATCAGTCATGCTAAAGTTAAATTCAGTAAGATAGAAATGTTCCAGTTTGTTAAAACAACACTGAAATATTTGATGGTTAAATAAACTGCAGAGGGGGGGAAAGCTAACTCATTGAAAGCACTAAGATTTTATCAAACACACAGAATTAATCCTTATTGAATAGAACCATTCACAAATCAAAACTCACTGTTCTTCAATGCTTTCAACCAGCACTAATCAATTACAAACCTTTCCTAGTGCTTCAAAATCATATGCTTTCAATTTTATCCACTGGTGGTCCTCAAGTACTGTATTGGGGCTGAGTTAAGACATTCTGTATCACAACTGTTTTTTTCAACAAGTATTCATCTAGAGAGCTTTCTTTTTCCCCTCTCAAGAGCTGCTCACATGAAAACTGTGGTAATATTTTTATACTGTACTTCTTTGTTGAAGCAAAAGGTTAGGGGTTACCCAAATACCTCAACTGTATATACAAAAAAAGGAAAAGGTAAGTATTCATATAAAAAATCCAATTGGACTGAATCATTATTTATTTTTGCATTTCCTATGATTAATGATGCACCCATGCATACTTGAAAATTGATGGCAAAACAGGGTAGCATCTCAATCCCTCTCCAAAGCATACAAATGCCAACCTCCCATGCTGTTCTAACCTTTGTCCAAGGATATTAATGTGACAACTCTGAGTCAATAGAGAGGTCATATCAAAAGCTCCTTAAAAAGCATTAGGAGTGCAAATGCTATTAGCTAAGAAAAGGCTCACTGGAACAGTCAGATTACCTATATAGCGTCTCTTTAAAATTATTATATATAAGGTCAAATAGACCAATACCTTCAACATTAAAAAATCCTTTCTTTGAATAAAACTGTAAATATGACAAAGCAAAACTATTTTTTCTAGTCATATACCATGTTAGGCCTTAAATGGGTGCTAGCAAAACCAATGCAGAAACTTCCCAATATGTTACCTCAATACACTACTTTTTTCTTCTAACAACCAAATTCCACTACAGATAAAATTCTACAAAAAAAAAACAAAAAACAAAAACAAAACCACTATATGTCATTAAACTCCCATAATAAGGATAACGATAACCTCCAATACTTAATATTTTCCAAAGAGTAAAGTACAGAAAGATAACTGTTTAAAGTATATGAAAAACCTTCATAAAATCTGCAGTGTTTAATATTTTAAAATGAATCTTTAGAAAAGTCTCACATAATGAAAATATACACCTGAATACAAGCTATTGCTATTATAAATATTATGAAATTCATTGGACGTGTATTTTGATTAATGTGCTATAATTCAAAAAATAATAAGGAAATCATACTTTATTTAAAGGAAGCTTCCTTACAATTTCAACAACAGTAGATCACAAACTTTTGTCCACTCAAGAACAAACAGACATAAAACAGGCCTTACATCCCTACATAACTTTTTAAAGACTTGTATAGCGACTGAGATTAAGTGCTCTTCAATTACAGTGAATATAATATACTCATCTAATGTTGAATTTTTTTTAATTTCCTCCTCTATATACTATTTATTAAGGATATCGGGTTTAAGGTTTGAAAAAGGGTTAGATGGATATAAGCAATACCATATTAACCATTTCACGTGTTTATAGTGTTGTTATTGAATAGGATGTTAACTCTGAAACATATTTCTTTATAAATGCTTTCTTTTACTAATAAAGATTATCATTTTCCTGATATATAAAATAATTCCCAAATAAGATGAGCTGCAGAATTAAGAGTTCTTTAAAAGCTAGTTGCTACATAAGCACTTAATATTTGCAGTGAAAAATAATTCATTATTCATCCTATTCCCTATATTCCTATTAATACTCATAAACACAATATATAATACATAGTCTAGGAGCAAAAGTCAAACCAAGTGCAATTTTGGTTATAATAAAAAGAACATAAATGTTACGTTTATCTTGATTAAATGATTTTCATTT